AACTATGAAATCAGCACTTGATAATACCGGCTCTTATATTACGAAGGAGGAGATTTGGAATGAAGGAATAGTTGTTATAAAGAATCGATATGATTCAATCAACGATCTTAAAACTTTTTTATCAACATTTAATTTTCCATGTGAGTCATATGAAAACATTCTAAGATGGCTAATAGGACGAGTTGGATTTTCAACTTCCTTTATCGAAGAATGGTTTAGTAGCACGTATAATATTGTAACACTATTTGAAAAATTTAAACAACGGTATACCGACCCAACTCACAATGAAAGCATTATGGTTAGGATAATTCAAAGTACCGATAGTGAATTTGTCAGAAGGGGAGTAGAACGAGACAATTTGGGTGGATTTCAAGTAACAATAAGTGAGCCGCTTGTTATAGAATCGGCAATTTCATATTTTAAAAAATTTAGAAACACATCTACATACATTCTTGACAAAATGATCGATGTCGATTATTCGCCTAGTAGTATGGGGATTTTGTGGGAAAGTTTAATTCCCGATGCAATTAGGAAACTTTTGAGGATAGCAATGCACATATTTTATTTAAAAAAAAGCTTCCATTTGAAAATTGGAAAATTTATGAACCATGCAACAATAATCGCAAATTATGTGTACAGTCAATGCGCTGCACACCTGACTTTAACCTCCCAAAATTTTTAGAAAACCCGGTTGTGCCTTTTTTTTTTCCTGAAAATGAAGCAGGCCCGGATATCGTTACCTTTGTACATCCCGTTGGCATGCCAGAAAAGAGGTAAATGTTTTATAATTACAGCATTTCTTATTGAAAAAAACTATAAATTAAATGATTTTTTATTTTTATTTTAGATTCATTACATTTGTTCAAGTAAAATTGCGTGAAAAACACTCAAGAGATGATTTAATAACGACGGATCCCAAGAAATTTTATCATAAAAGAAAGGGAACATGTCAATTGGTAATAATATTTTTTAAAAAATTGTTATTGCTTAATTTTTCATATATTTAATGTGACGGCTGATGCTGAAGTTTGGCTGATGTTGAAGCTAAAAAATCTGATTGGTTAGGGTTAGGGTGATCTGCAAAATTTAGCCAATCAAGATTTTTTAGCTTCAACATCAGCCAAACTTCAGCATCAGCCGTAACATTTAATAATAATCTATTTATTACTATAAACAGTTAAAGGGTGAATGTTACAAGAATTCATACGAAAAAGTTTTGGATTTGATCCACAACAATTATTGTGGTGTGTTTAGAATATTTATAAGTTATCCGGCCTTAGTGGCATTAAAGGAAGAAAATCTTGAAATTGAGAATTCGTCATTCGACAATGTAGTTGAAGATTGGATTGCTTTAATTTTTGATGATGAACATATTAAAATACTCAAAGATTTAAAAAATCCTAAGAGAAAAGCAATAGATAGTAATAGTGTAGATACAGAATCCAATAAAAGAATAAAGTTGATTTAATGTCACTCAATCTATTTTAAACATGAGACTTAACAAAAAAAAAATATTTAAATTGTATAATTGTAATTTTTATTAATCAAATCGCTTGTAAATTAGTACATAAAGTTATATAATAAATAACATAAATGAATTAAAAAAAACCATCAACTATCAATGAGTGTAGTACATGTTTTATTGGGTGTGCGGTACACTAATAAATTGCTATTTTTATATTAACAGGCTTAAAAAAAACAACCTAATGCCCTTAATGGGTATCCTTATGTCAAGAAAATCCCGAGCTGCCGGCCAAAACAATATGGGTCGTAGTATCTCAAAAATTCCCTATACAGTCGGCCCCCCTAAATGCATCCCCCCTAAGTGCATGACCTCCCTAAATGCATATTAATTTTCTGGCCCAAATATATACTAAACTCCCATAAATGCATATTTTATTATTGTTCT